TGGGAGGGGTTTGAAAAAGTGGTTTGCTTGAAGCGTGAGAGAGAAGTGTTCCGAAGACTTGAGAGATGAGAGAAGAAGCGGCTGACTATCCTGTAGTTGAAGCTGTGTGTGATGATGATGAGAGGATATTCCAACCCAGACGGTGGAAGATGAGGCCTTTTATAATCCATTCAGCTCACGATTCTCCTCGTTGAAGCTCCCCTTATCCTATTGCCAACCTCACATGTCGTCGACTCTGGCTTTCCGTCTTCGTCGTCGTGTCCCTCGTCTCGCCCCTCGACGCCAAGGGAGCAAAGAATTCTGAACGTGGCCTTCATGCACATCCAGCCGCACAGCGTGTAAGACTCGTGTAGCCTCAGACGTATTTCCGAATGAGGTACCATCACAACACACACTCGCAACTCCACGCGAAGTCATCCTCACCCTCAACATCGGACCAAGTTGCCGGCCGGTGGACCCTCGCGACCCTGAAGCTAGGGCTAGGCTGTAGCCAAGAAGGTCTAGGGAGGGCGGGAGTCTCAACCCATGCGCCTTTGACAGCTCCTTCCGCGAAACTCGACCAATGGACGTTTGGTGTTGATGGCCACCCGCTGCCTCATCCGTCCGTCGTGTCTCTGATGGATAACTCAAAAGCGAGACACCATCTACGTGGTGGAGGGACGCAACATCTTGTCTCTTGGGCAGTTCATTGGCCGACCGCATCTCTGCGAACGGGAACAGGAATGGGAGCCACGGGGCTCATAATTTCCGCCCAGCCTCTACTCTCTGTGGGCAAGCGCGCACTTCCATATCCACCCGTGCCCCTCACTGAGACAGGACCGAACATCTCGGCCGAAGCTGTCGTGACGTTTGCGGGGAGATATTTCGTGATCAGAGTCAACCCATTCCGACTCCACCGTTGCTCCCGCCGCCGATCACCGGTAGAATTGCATACCACAGCTTTTGGGTGATGTGATGTTGTGGTGTAATGCCTGCGGCATCCGGCATCGTGGACAAAGCTGCCAAAGATCACCCAAAGATGATCGTTCAAACCTGCTTTTCCTGGAGAGTGTTTCTTCCTGACAACGAGGCTTTTTTTCTGTTGAGCCTCTTGCTAAGTTTCCCCTCTTCTCTCTTCTGGACTCTTGGCCCCAGTATCTGCTTTCGTCCTGATGCCATCAAGAGAATTCTGACAGAGGAGGAAAATATTACGTATGAAGTGAGGAAAACAATAAGTCTATTTTGTCTCAGCCCGGCCAGCCTCTGAGCCTCCACTTACCTCCTTTCCCGTTCTCCCTAACGGGAGCTTGCATTCCCACCTTTACCCGTTTGAGCCGCCCAAGCATAAGCGGCTTGAGCTGAAGGGAAAACGTGACAACTGACAGCTTTCTGAGGGATCGCAAGTCTCGCCAAAACCTATCGAATCACGGTGCGTGCCCGGGTCATATGGACGTTCTCAAGAATTCTGCCTTGGCAACAGACGGCCGCGGGCCGGCGCTGTCGCACATATTTCCCTCCCGTCCGGCCAACTTAACCGCGGGATATGTTGAGGAGGATTTCCATCTCTCTAGCGGGATATGTCGCCATCGTAAAAAAACGCAAGACATTGTGCGCATCGTGACCGGAATGGGATCCTCTGAGGCTGAGAAACTTGACCGCCTTGGGCAGTTTACAAGCAATGTGGATGTTCGTTTTTTTGTGGAAGCCAAGGCAGCAGCAGCCTTTGTTAGCACCAGTCCAGATCTGGACTGCTTCTAAGCCCAGGGACGTGAACGAGGGGTTTTGACTGCTGTTGGCGGCTGAATCAACATGTTCCGTTGCAAGCCGAGTGCGAACTTTTTCCGCCAAGATGTGGGAAATCCGAGATCAAGTTTTGTTTCCACCCGACTCAACACCAACTGATCCAGTTAGAGGCATCGTGAGAGGAATGGAATGGCATCTCCATGGCTTAGCCGCACGTCATGCCGAAGCGCCGCAGACAAAGGCGATCTCGTCACACAACTCATCGGTGATGGGGAGAGACACTTTTTGGCCCATACGTAGGTGGACTCAACAACTTCAGCCTGCCGCCGGTCCGCCAACAAGCGTCCGCCCCCGGACTCTAACGTCATTCCCGGTTCTGTCACACCGAGTCAGAAGGGTTCTCAGATCCAAAAGACATGCCAAGAGGAGATTTCGCCCTTACTTCGTGGCCAGACTGCGAATGCTGCGTCAGGAAGGCTCGTCACGTTGCATCTTTTCCTTGGTCGAGGGCGTGAGCAATACCTCGAAGTTGAAAGTTGCTCCCGGGCGAAGGGCGTCAGCCAGCTGTTGTGTAGAACACTTGTGAGTCTTTCAGGTCAAACCGGACCCGTCCATGTCCACACATCATCACGGCCGAGCCAGAAGTGCCAAGTAATGAGTAAGGAAAGTCTGAGCCTCCACCCGTACAGGCGAAGACTGCCACATTTCGTGAAGGCTTTCGGGGCCGAGTCCAGGCCTCCAGAGAATTTGCACGGCTACGGGTCCGAGAGTTCTCTGATAGGCCTTCCTTCGACGGGATTACGTGACGAGAAACAGAGACAGCACGGTTCTCGTGGTAGCCACGTCCAAGAATGCCCAGTGTAAGCGGGATTTCTTCTGTCTTCTCCGTGGCGCCGCTGCACTTGGTCAGACCACTCTTGGCTCCGTCCCGCACAACCTAGCCAACTCATCCAGTTACTGTGTGTCCAGCTATTACTTCTCGTGCCGTACCTCGTGCCCAGAGTGGCCAGACTGTTGATTCCGAAATCCCTCGTGTCTCCGCTGCACGTGGGCCCCGTCTTTGATCGCTCCGCTGCTCGCGGTAGGCTCCCTTGACAAGACACTCTGCGCGCTATGCGACGGTCCGCCCCTTCGAGCGCGGAGGTGGGCGGGTCCGCCTCCTGAGAATGTCCTGTTCGCGGCAGGCGGGCAGCTTTCTCCAACCTCAAGTCGAATGTCTCGATGGGACCCCCAAAGAGACTGGCGAAGACAACCCTCTCGAACAAGCCTTCGCCATCATCCATCGTCATTCCGGGGCAAGGAAACTTCATTCCTTACTCGAGCCAAGCAAAGTCGGTGATTGAGGGCGGCAAACATGAGCTGATCATTGGTACGTGAACGATGATGGAAGACACTCAAGTCCGAAGCGGAGGAAAAACCATCTCATCCTAGGGGACTTCCTAATCAGGCCGTCTTTCGGGACGGGTCGGTTGCCGAGCCCTGGGGTTTCGGCCGGAGGGATCTCCCTCCCGGAATTCGATGGCGTGCTTGTATTGTTCGTCTTTCTTGTCAAAGTTGCGAGGTTTGACTTTGATGTTCTCGATGCGAGACAGGGGGGCATCCATCTCTTCGGAGATGAACACTACGTTACCTGCGACAGATGCCCTTTGTTCAATCTTTTCAATGTCAACATTCCGGACGCCAGACGATCTCCCTTGGGCATCATCACAAAAGAGATCGCAATAAGCCTGTGACTTTGCAACATCATGATCGTACGAGGATCTGCGAACTGCTGTGCTAGATGTGTTAGAAATCTCGATGATGTGAGGTGTCATGATCGACCCAAACTGAGGAGAAGCAGAAAGGGCAAGTGGAGGTAGTGAAGAGGAGTAGATACTGAAATCACACGGAGAGCTGGCCTCAAAACTTGAAGCTTCCGCCAACTTCTGAGATATGGCAAGCTTTTGCAACACGAATCATGTTTCCTATCAAACGGGCACAGATATCTTACCTCTCTGTCATGAGGGATCATTCGAAGCGATACCAAGCTTATTCATTATGGCTCATCCCCACTACCAAACTTGCATGATAACAGACTAGAATGTTTTGCCCGAGCAAGTCTTCGTTCAGGGGCAGTCTACAAGTCTACGGTCTTGCTACTAGGCGAACAGGCGAGATTATGTGTCGGCTTCACTGAATGCTTTAGAAGGCTCGGAAGGTCGGCGGGTGTTCATCTCAAACACGTGGCACTCAACTGAAGCTGGCTTGCTGATTCTGTAAACATCTATAATTCGATCTGAGAACCCGTAGGTTGTGGTTATGAGTGACTGCTAATCACGACATATGCAGTATTCATGTCCCTGGAGCTTTCAGGGATCTAGAATGTTTTACGACTTTTTGAAGGCAGAATGAATGCGATTTAACTGACTGAGAAAGACTTTGTTAGGTTGTAAGAATGGTAAGGGAACTTTGATATTCCCATGAAAAAGATCAGCAAAGTGTAGAAAGTCCCCAAGCGAAGAATTGCGCTCACATGTTACATAATATAGCAAACTACGACGCTAAGTCTACGGAGTGAATATCAGAATTAAACTACAGAGCGCTGAAAGCAATTCGTCATATATGCTAAGCCTGAAATTTTGAGTAGTAAGCTAATATATGACTGTGGTATAAGACTGAATAGTTCGAGTACTCAACAAACCAAGGAGAATAATTATTTTAGCGAACCTGGACTCAGACGGTTAGTAGATAACGATCCACAGATTCCAATAGAGACAGAATCTCCTCGCTTCAATAGTAGCATCTGGATCTCATACAAAGAAACAACACCCTCACCAGACCGTTGTTCATTGTTGGCCACCAACAAGGCAATTCTTCCACCTCAAAGGACCAAATTTTCATGTTACGAATTCTATCACACTCTTTGACCTGAAACAAAAGAGAAGATGAACGCTTGCCAAAGAAAATTGTGAAGATATAATACAAGGCAACAAGTTTGAAATATGTTGTCTGATACCAAGCCGTTGTGTTTCCTCATATCTCCCTTTGTCTGGAAAGCACCAGTCCCTTAAAGAATAGAGAAGATGATGTTGATAAGTAGAAAAAACCTCAGCAGCGACAGTCAACGATTTTCTTGTTTTCTTCAGAGACATATTTATCATACAACGCAAATACCGACATCAAGAGCACCGCAACCCAGTAAAACTCGCAAGAAACGAGAGACACCTTAGACTGCCACGATCGCAGAACCCATCGCGACCAATACCAACAGCTACGAAAGAACAACAGCAGCCGCCACGATGTGCTACGGAATCATGTCATATTCATGCTCCCACAGCATCAAGAAACGCTTCACCTGCCGGGAAGTCCCCAAAGACGCGCCCTGGAGCTGCCACGCCGTCATGACAACCCTCTGCGGCGCCCGCCCCGGCGAGCAATGCGACCAGATCCGCGCAGACAAGCACTTCAACGTCCCCCACAGCTGTCCCGACTGCCAGGCCGCCGACGAGTCCGGCGCTCTCCCGCACAGCCGTACCACCCATAACCGCTTCAAATCACAGCTGGGGCCCGACGGTCTGCGTGCCTCGCGCCTGCGCAAGGAGGCGGCGGACAAGAAAAAGGAGGCGGAGCGCGCCGCGTACCGGGACGATCGCATCGCCGGGCAAATCGCCCGCCGGAACGCTACCGCTTACCTTGACCACCCGCCCATGCAGATGCCGTCTGTCATCAGTGTTCCGCTGGGTAACCGGGCAATGAGCCAGGAACCGTCCTATGGTGTACTTCGGCCGGGCGCCCTCAGCCCTTTGCAAGTCATGCCGCCGGCTGCAGACGATGAGTATGACCCCGATGATGAATCCGTGAGCGTGAGACGACCCGACGTGGATCGGTATGGGTATGGCCAGTACCGACGGGACGAGCAACAACAGAGCAAACATGGCATCGACCCGCATGGAAGCTACAAATCTAGGTACGCATCGAGAGACTTGACGCCGAGCAGACCGGCTCCCCCGAGACCAAACAGGGCAAGACCTGACCCCCTGAGACTGCCCCCTCGTTCTCGTTCTTCGGATGACTATGTACCATCGATTCCAATGTCGCCAATGTCGCCGCTTGACGACGAGCCGATTCGGCCTCGCCGTGGTCGGCGGGGCTAGAGGCCCAACCCCCTGAGGTCCTTCGGGTCGCTTCGCAAGACGCACAGCCAAAAGCTCGCAGGAAAGAGTCCGAAAAAACTGGCCCAGTTTCATGATCTGAAGAGAATTCTCAGCTCACCCACTCGCCCGAATGCCCGTACAGACTCCGTCATCTCGGAGTCCGAATCGATGGTTTGTCAAGATGCTCTGGCGGTGGAACGTGGGATTCCTTAGCTCACCTTAGCTGGGTACGATGCCGGTCTGGGAAGACAAGTTGGTGAGTGAATGCTTCGTCCTGTTGAACTATGTACTCGTTTCGTGCATTTTTGCTGCAATTGACATAGACAGATAGAGCCTCCTTTCCCTGCCCAAATAGAACAATAACCGAAAACAAGCAACGCGCAAGGGTCCCGTGCAAACTCTCGTTGGCAAGTGTCATGACTCGACCAAGATACAGATCCAATGACTGACAATCTGTATACGCGTGAGCTCAAATTGGTATCTGATGAAAGTACTCCGTCCTGTGAAGTGATGGCGCCTGCCCGAATGCTTCCATGCGGCGGGTCCTGTGCCCGTTGATTTGTCTGTTCAACCACTGCTTCCCCTTGTAACCTCGTCGCCCTATGTTTGCTGATACCTGTTAACAGGTGAGTGCGGCACTTGACGTCGGGCCGGCGTCTACAGTGCGATTTTTCAAAGAATTGCGGAATACTCGCATTGCCATCGTGGAGGTTGTGCTGGCTGGCTTGCGTGTAAACTATTGGGCCTTGCCGTTCTTGGCCTCTCCATTGGCCTTAGAGGCCTTGAACTTGGCAATCTCCTTCTGGACGGCCTTGTCGACGCGTGCCTTCAGCTCCGCGCGGTAGCCCAGCTTGAAGAGAAACTCGAGCCAGACGAACAGAGGGGCCAGGAAGACGGCCTGGATCAGATTATCCAGCAAAGCAGGGGCACGGCCCTCAAAGGCGCCGTGTCCGATGAACTGGAAGATCCAGCAAACAACGTGGACGCCGATGGCGACCTTGTTGGTCAGGTCGGGATTCTCGAGCCTGAAAGAGTTGCCGGCTGCAGTGGCGCCCAAGCAGATGGCGGCCAGCAGGGTGCCGGCGACAGGCTCGAGGAGCACGTACAATCCACCCCAGGTCAACGCTGCAAGTGTTCCCAGATTAAGATCTAGATTGGGGACTGTGAGCCAACTTGGGAGAGGAATGAGAGTTCCTGTGTTGGTGGCCTATGAATTATGAATAAGCTGGACTGTAAAGACCCTAGTGCCAATGCATTAGTCACTTACGAGACAAAATCCTGAGAAAAGGATCATGGGCACGCATGCCATGTGAATGCCAATATTGACAGTGTTATGGTGGTATGCGCCATACTTTTTTGACGAAATTAGCAGTGAACGGACGACGAGACTTCAGAGGCTAAGCTGTGGACTCACAAAGGTCAAGTGTTTTTCCAAGTCAAGAGACATGTTTGCGGTTTTGGAGATTGGATGATGTTGAGATCTAAGCCAAAGCGAGGCAGGTGATGGAAGCCGAGGATTGCTGCAGGACCTGAACGAGGCTGCAAGCAGGGTCGAGGCTCAGCCGCAGCAGAAGGGATGGTCGGCAGTGCGAGCAGATTAGACGGGCGAAGGGTGGTGCGACCCAGAAGACAGTGTCGATCTCTACCTTAGTTTCCAACAATGGGCGTGCTGTATGTTGCGACAGGTCGGGTTGGCGATGTCAAGGCCGTAGAGTAGGATGGAAAATGAAGGAATGCCGCGGTGTTCCGGACTGGACAGGACAGGGTTGCAATGGTGTTCATATGCGTCCCACTCGCGCACAGCACGCCTGGAGGGTGAGTGCGCCGTACGGTGGAAGTGGACGCCCGTGGGGCCGGCCGCTGGGCGCGTTTTTGCTTCGGTTCGGGGAGGTTGTAGGGGAAGGACCGCTGGGATCTAACTTCGAGGAGCCCAAAAGGCAGGTCGAAGGACCCCGGAGCCCAAGGCTAGCAGGTGACAAGGGCGATAGGAGCGGCTCCTGACTGGAGATTTGGGTGATCGAGTCCACTAAAAACCGCTAAACGTGCATGCAGCGAACATACGACCTGCCTCGCCCAATCTGATGTCGTGGATTTGTCGTGTGAGCGCGTTGGGGGGCTGGAGAGGCTTTCGACCGGCTGCCCAGATTCAACGACGTGATACGGTTTTTGGAGGAGCGTAGAAATTGGCCGAGCAGACACAGGCCCAGACACAGACACTAAGGCAATTGACCCGAGGCACCTTGACCGCATAAGAAGCCGGCCAGCCCTCATCTCATCACCACTCAAACTTAGTCCGGACGGCACCAGACGACTGACTTTAGGGTTGCGGTTTCTGCCGTCCGTGGCGCCACCCTGTCGCATTCCTTCGCCTCCCGCGGCGCGTACACTGTCATCTCAAACCAATCTTGCTATTGTGCATACAGTCCTGAAATCGGACCTCGCTCTCCATGCATGCAGACTTCCCTTCATCCCGACTCTTGTCCATGGAGTAAGGGAGGTACGGCATTGTACGCGGTAGGAGACTGGGGGCCGACGAGCATGTCGCGTTAGCGCAGGCGCGTTAAGTGCGACATGCCAAAGTGCGGCTAGTATATCCGTGGCACATGCAGTCCTATCATGAGCCACAGACATACGTGCGTGGCTTGACTCTCTGGGCTGGATGTGGCTAGGCAAGGCCAGAAAATTAATGAGCCACATTTGGTAGCTGCATCTCAACTCAACCCATCGTCTTCAGCCTCGCCTTGTGCAACCTTTCTCTCTTCAACCGTCGAGTCACCGACGACGGCGCATCACCTTCCTCCAACGGCGCGCAGTGGCACCTTCCATCAAAAGTTTCCTGACAATTTGCGTTTCTCTTTCGTTCTCTAATATTGCGCTTGCTCTCACGAGACTTCCAGCGTGCCAGCGACGTCACACGCGATCGCTCGCTACTGCTGTTTTGAAGGCCACACAGCTCTAAGAAGCACCTTTGAAACTCGCGCATCTAGGCCACCTTCTTTATCAAGTCGATCGCGTCGTCCAATCAGACCTTCCGCCGCGCGAACTTCTCCCACCGTGCCCTCCTCGATCGCGTCCGATATACACCTGACTTCTTGCTCGACCAAGTTTGGGCGACGACGAGCCGATCGAAGTTAGCAAGCGATCCTACCTCCCGCAAGCACGCCGTACCTCTTGCGAAAATGTTCTTTCTTTACAACATGGAGCGCAGGGTCACCCTGCACCCTTCGTACTTTGGGCGCAACATGCACGAGCTGGTCACGAGCAAGCTGCTGAAGGACGTCGAGGGAACCTGCGCCGGCAGCTACTACATCATTTCCATCATGGACACCTTCGATATCTCCGAGGGTCGCATTCTTCCGGGAAGCGGTCTGGCCGAGTTCACCGTGGGCTATCGCGCGGTCGTGTGGAGGCCCTTCAAGGGCGAGACGGTAAATGCTACAAATCTGCCTGGCTCTGTCGGGAAGCGGATTCTGACATGACCCCCAGGTTGACGCCGTGGTTTACTCGGTCAACCACCAGGGCTTCTTCGCCCAGGCAGGACCCTTGCGCCTCTTCGTGTCGGCTCATGTACGTCCCCGCTTCCGCGCCAGCCAGGCAGGACCTCAAAATCACTAACTGCGAGCCTCTCTATTCTAGCTGATTCCCTCTGAGATCAAGTGGGATCCCAATGCCACGCCGCCACAGTTCACCAACAATGAGGACACCATCATTGAGCCTGGCACGCATGTGCGCGTCAAGGTGATTGGTACGAGAACGGAAGTCGGTGAGATGTGGGCCATTGGCAGTATCAAGGAGGACTACCTTGGGTATGTTGTCCTTCAGGGAATTATCGATTGGCCTCGCTCACAAACATATCGAAAAGCTGTCTACAGGATTAGAAACCTTGAAAAGACGAATGGATCCAAGAGGCCTTGGCACCGCGCCACTGGGCCGTGCCGTTCTCCGTTGTATATGGCGGTACTGCTCCCACCGCTGGAAGCCAAGCCAATACGTCCAGACCCGTTTGCCGACCGTGTTGGAGGACATCCTTTGCTGCCATGGCAAGAAGTCTTGCTCATCAGCGAAGAGGAAGCCGTGGCTGCAAGAAGGCCAGGCTTCGGCAGAACCGCCACGAGAACCACTCGCGGACCTGTTTTCTGCAAAATTGAGCTGCTTATGAGAAAAGCAAAAGATAGACAAAAGTTTGGGGGCAAGAGGGGCGTACACATGCCCCATTCAAAGAGAGAGCGCGCCATTGAAAAGAACTTCGACGCAAGGCATCGGTTTGCGTCTTCACAGTTGTACACTAACTTTCTCACATTCTACGAAATGAAAAAGCAAGCCATGAGAATACAGTATAGAGGCACCTTGAGCCGTGACTGGTGAGAATGAAATTTCTCTTGACAACGGCAATATCGTTCGCTCACATTACATACCACGGCATGAGCGCACGGCAATCGTTCGAAAAGAGTCTGTATCATGATCCTGTTACGCTGATTCGTTGAGACGCCGCTGTCGACCTACGAACCTCCCTCTCCCGGTTTGACCAAACTTTTCTCTAAAACGAAAAAAAATCAAAAGTAGGTAGAAAAGAAAAGAGACCCAGAGGACCCCTCACTTTTCTCCCTTTCTCTCAGCTCATCATCAGCTCTATAACTCGACGGTTTGGTTCGGGTTCTCTCTTCTCCATCCGCACTCGTCTCGTTTCCTTTTCCCCTCCTCGCCGTAATTACATAAAAAGACACACGTTCAAAGGTTTCCCCCATTTGTCCCATGGAAATTTTCGCTCTCGTTTCTTTTTTAACCTGATCGCCAACCCTTCCCTTCCCACCCATACCATGACGCTATGTGAAAGAGTTGGCCAAAGTGGTTAAAACGGAGCGAAGAAGACAACAGGTGAACCACATTCATGAAATTTCCGCGTAGACCATCTCTCGACAAATCACCGGGCTCAATAGGTGCCCTTCTCTTAGTCGTCGTTGTCCGTCCTCTCCTTGGGCTCACGGGGCTCCCTGGGCTCGCGGGGCTCGCGAGGCTCTCTGGGCTCACGCTGCTGTCCGTCACGGCGCTGGCCGCCCCTCTGCTGACGACCGCCGCTGCCACCCTCCTTGTCGGCGTTCAGCTTGCGCTCCGCCTCCTGCGCCTCGCGCTCCTTCTGGGCCTTGGCGTTGGCCTGCTCCTTGCGAATGACGTCGTGCAGGTTCGACAGGGTGCCCTTCCAGCTGTCCAGGCGGGTGGCGAGCTCCTGCCATTGCCTGGTGCCGAAGACGCGGTAGGTGACCTTGTGGACGAGGAAGACCTGGTCCTGCTGGGAGAGCTTGCCCTCGACGAGGCCGGCGCGGATCACGTCAATGGCCCACATCTCGACGTCCTCGGCGGGAACCTGGAGAGCCTTCGCGACGGCGGAGTACTCGATGCGGCGGGAGGTGGTCTGGGCGGCGAGGGAGGCGAAGGTGAGGAGACGCATCTTGCGGTGGAGGCGGTCGTGGTCGAGCTTCTCCTTCTCGAGCCAGCCCTGGTGCTCGTCGTTGAAGTCGTTGTAGTCCTCGAGGTCCTGCTCGGCGACGATGTCGAGGAGCTGGGAGTAGACGGGGTGCGTCTCGGACAGGTTCTGCACGGTAGGTATGCTGCGGATGTCGGTGAAGAGGAAGTGTGTGTTGGAAAGCAGGGCGTCGCGGACCGCGCGGAGGGACAGGCGCTGGGCGTCCTCGGAACCGACATCGTCCTTATCGTCAGCGTCAAAGGTGCGCAGGGCCTTGAGAATGTATTCGTAGCTCTCCCTGTCTGGGTATCAGTCTCCGATGCTTCGTCTTTCTAACTCTTCCAACGAAAAAGGGACGACTCACTCTTCCTTGCCGGCCTCCTTGGCGACCTCGGCAATCTCCTCGTACATCTGTCTCTGGAACTCGTCGCTGGTCTTCCAGTCCGCGAACCAGTCGGGGAGCTGCTTCAGGTAGGGCTGGATGGTATCGAACATGGCGTTGGCCTTGAGGAAGCGCAGGATGGCCATGAAAACGTTGTAGCGTATCGGGTTCTCGGGGGCGATGAGGTTGAAGATGGTGCTCAGGGCGTTGAGGCTCAGACCGACGCCGTTGACGGGGCTGGAGGCGATGGGCTTGGAGAAGGCCTGGCAGAGGGTCGGGAGGTGCTTCTTGGGGTCCTCGGACTGGAGGACGAGGTGGACCATGAGGTTGGACGCGGCGGTGAACTCCTTCTCGGCCACCGACGTCAGGGCCGTCGACGAGCGCACCAGCTTGGACAGGACTTCCTCCTTCTTGGCCTCGTTCTCGACGAGGGGCTTCACCTCGTCGGCGATGTGAAGGTAGTCGGCCATCTCGCGGGCGAGCTCCTGGAAGGAGCCGTCGACGAAGAGCAGCTGAGGCTGCGCCTGTTGCTTCGCTCCCGCCGCCATGATTGCTGGTTTTTCGCGGTATCTGACGAGGGTTGTCGGGCCTTCGGGTTGAGAGGGGGGTGGGATGCGGTTGATTGCGGAGGTGTTGGCAAATTTGGCTGGGAGGAGGAGTAAGAGAGGGACCCCGGAAAAAAAGAGAATGCGAAAGTGTGTAGAGGGGCGTGTGGTTTGCGGACGACGGAGACAGGGGGTCGCTCTGTCGTGCGGTATGTCTCTTGCGAAGCCCGTGTCGACCTGCGGTTCGATGGAGGGGTGTGGTGGAGGAGGGCAATTTTCGCTGTTTTCTGCCACCCGACCGACTTGTGGGCTTACCTAGGCGAAGGCGGTGAAGCCAGGCCACGGTGCCCCACGCCGTGGCGGGGTACCACTATGACCTGGGATTTGACGGATAAAGCTCTATATTCACCAGAACTGTACTTGAAAGCTTGTTACTAAAAGCTTTACTTCATAGACGAGTGAGAATGGCCCCAGTCGTGTTCTCAGAATTGAAATCTTGCACCCAATTTCCGTATCACGACGTCGAAGCGCTTTTGGTTCATCCGTCGACACGGCCCCGCCTTGGGCTGCCCCGTAAACACAGTGGAGGCTCCGGTTTCCGCTCGGAGCCGGTATGGCAGCGGCAGTCGTTTCCGCCCTATTTGTCGAAACGGTGCCGGTGTAGGAAACAACCCGAACGCTTGGGATACTGCATATGCGGAGGCAAAATCTGAGGTTTAGCAACACACACTCTCATCTAATGTGTGTGGCATGCCGAAAGCCTTTCCTTGATTAAAAGGTTTATATTGTCTCCGAATAATGTCAGATATGTCAGGACGCCAACTTTTGCCGTTCCCATCCAGCCTCTCGGACACCTAAAAGACAAAAATAAATACACCCCCCGTTCACTGAGGGGATGTCATCACCGGCCCTACAGTCAACACAGAAATGATCTCCATGGCTCGGATGGTCAAGAAACAAACAAATCCATGACCTTCGCCGACTGTATCTATGACTCACGCGTCCCATACCCTAACCATGCTCCTAACAATTCAACAAAATTATTATAACCCATTATTCCTCCTTGCTACCGTTCTGGGCTTCTGTAGAAATGTCGGCCTTTGAATAGATGCTATCGCCGTCATCGCCAAACAGAGGCTGATCGCCCTTGCCGCCCATCTCCACGAATTCGTCAACGTTTCTTTGGGACGCAGGGTCGGCCTCCTTTGGTGTCATGATCGACTTCGTCGTGTTCTTGGAATAGATCTTGACTGGTTTCTGCTTAGGGCCAGGGGATCTTTCCGCAACTGCTACAGAGTTCATTGAGCTGAGTAGTGTCCGCTCTCTGACGACACCGCGGCGGTGGACTTCTAAGCCCTGTATGCCGCCCACCAAGCCGTCGGTGCTGTCGTTGACTCCTGGTTGCTTCTGCGTCATCCAGGGGTGGTTGAGGCATTGGTCAACTGTAAAACGACGCTCGGGATCAACTACCAGCATTGAGTCGATAAGGTCCACTATCATAATGTTAGTCATGACGCATCGTTTTGTAGCGCTTCTGGGTCACCTACGAGCAGGGTCGCCTACTGAGTCCCAGTATGGCGAAGGGTAATCGAACCGGCCGCTCTTGATCTGTTGCGACAGCGTGAACGGGAAGTCCTTAGAATACAGTTCGTCTGAAAACGGCGGGAAGCCGCACAGGCAGATGTAAAGGACAACTCCGAGTGACCAAATGTCGACAGCCTTGGTGTACTTCCGGTGCCTGCCCTCGGCCAAGATTTCAGGCGCCACATAGCTGGGTGTTCCGCACAGCGTCGTCGTAAATGACTCTTCACCAATAATTTTAGCCAAACCGAAATCAGCCAGCTTCACGTGCAAGTCTCTGTCGACCATCAGAATGTTCTCTGGCTTAATGTCCCTGTGGACAATGTTGCGATCATGCTTCTCACAGTTAGCGGACAGGGGACATCAAATGCCGTCACAAAACTTACCAGGTACTTGATACCCTGAAACAATTGCGTAAAGAGTTTGCGCGACTCATCCTCGGTAAGCTTTTGCTTCATGACGATGAAGTTGAACAGTTCGCCTTCCGGAGCCAGCTCGAGGACAAGGTACACCGCATTACGTTCGTTAAACGTGTCCTTCAAGCATAGAACGTTGGGGTGACTAACGCCCATGAGAACGGCAATCTCCTGTTGCAGACCCTCCTGTTTCGATCTCTCCTCCATGCCGGCAGTCTTTGTGAAGATCTTGACGGCGTACCTTTGGCCAGTAGATTTCTCGACACAAAGGAAGACCTCGGCGAAGTGGCCCTTGCCAAGCTTCTCCAGTAGCGTGTACTGCTGAAGAAAAGCGCTCGTCTGCCGGCTCTTAGGGTATCTGAAGATGAAACGAGCCTTGTCGAGCACCGCGATCTCATCCTGCTCCTGGAGCTCTCTGCGCTTGTTGCGACCCACGTTGGCTTCATTGACATAAGTTCCGTTGCTAGACAAATCCTCCAAGATAGCCACGGTGTCACCGCCTTTGTTCTCCGTAAATAACAGGCAGTGTCGATTTGATACCACCGGGTCTTCAACAACAATGTCTGCCTTTTGTCAGCGCTGTCGTAATCCTAATGGAATGGAATCCAATTCGCAAAGCTTACCACACTCCGGATGACGTCCAATCAGGTATCCGCCCGAGGCGACGCCCTTGATCTTGGTCTTTTCGTAGGCCTCCTCTTCCTTCTTCAGGGGCGATTTACCCTTCCTATCTACCGACTCCGTCTCCTTAGCCTCGAGCTTGTCCGGCATGGGGCATGCTGCCCTCTTCTTCATGACCAAGCACTTGCCGTACTTGGTGTCTAGCGGGAACAGGTAGCCCCAGACGCCCTCCTTCACCTCGTCCTCGACCTCGTCACATAGCACATCCTTGTTATCGGCCGGGTACTGGGAAAAGGCCTGTGTGTCCTGTGGAGGTGAGGAGAGGTTGGTGTGTGCCTGGGACTGGGAGTTGTCGTCCTTTTCGCGGTGGTTAACCTGACTGGGGCGACCCTCGGGAGGCGTCGCGGTAGGCTCCTTATACACATCGTCCGAGTCTCCGGATCGCGTCACGGGCGACGGAAGGTGCTGTTTGTGGGAAACCGGGGTCTTATCGACGGATAACCTCTCGGAGCGGCGGGGCTTCTTCGCCTCCGTGTCTGAGTCTGGCAGAGAACCCTTTGCCAGGGGAAGACGGTTTAGGATCGCACACCAGAAGGCCGGGCAGATTAACAAGCGACTCACTCTTGGACGTTTCAATTGGCTCTTCTCTTCGCGCGGGGGCGCCATGGCCTCGGTTACACGAGGCAGTCAAGGCGTGCTTCGCGGGTGATGGTGGATTGGTAGTGGTCTTGGGAGGCAGCAGTAGAGACGTAATAATGGATCCCCGGGTAAGATGATGTGGCGATGGTCTGTATAACAGGCCGAGAAAGGATAGAGAAGCGGACTTGTGCACAACAGCCTGGGATATGATGTGTACGAGCGTGAATATGGAAACTTGTATGAAAGAAGTGTGGTAGTGTTGCCTAAGGGAGAGCAGATGGCGAGGCTCTCATTAATAAACCAGAGTGCAAGAAAGGCAAGGCCAAAGGACGGAGCGACGGTGTGCAGCCTGGAAATGGGAAAGCTAAGGTCAGGTAGGTAGGTGGTGTAGGTATTCGTATTGGACCGGGACTTCCAAGTGGAGAGGGAACCTTCCTTCCAGTGTTGGACCTTGGGCCTGGAAAAAGTACCAGACAGCTGAGGTGACCAGGAGGGATGGGAGACCAGGTCAGGCCAGTACGTATGAGAGCTGAGGCAGGTACTGGTGTGAGCACCAACTGCGCCGGCACCAGGCACTGCGCCCTGCCCTGTGAGGTGCGAGCTACCCTACCAGGTCAGGACCTCCCCTGCTTTCTCTGGGGCGGCCTTCCACCTGCGCTGGACGACTGCTCGGCGGACTGGGCTGGATTTCCCAGGCAGGAAAGAGTCAGACAGGGCTTTCCTCACTTCGGATCGGGGGCCGTGCAATTGCAAGTGGGTCGCCGCGCCTTTGACTCTTCACGCTGATACTCTGATAGGGATTGTATGACTGCACTGCGCAGCGAGCGAGATGTCAACTTTCTGGCGCGAGTTGCAGCCTAGAAATGCGGTCCATCGGTTGTTCCGCATACAATCCTTTGTGTACTTCTCATGAATATCAGCTCCCCCTCTCCTCATGCCAATGCCACAACCGTCTGATGAGTGTGGCAAACAATAATCCGGAAAAACTCACCAGCAGTTTCCAAACTTCACTGTCTTCCGGTTGCCCAAAACCTGGAGAGCGTGCCATCCAGATCCACGGGCGACAATCAGCGGGCTTGCTTCTGGGGCGTCCCGTCTTGCTGGGCGTGCAGTGTGGGCACCGGTTCGCAAGCCGAGTGAGCGAGCAGTGACGACGGGGAGCTGCAGGGTCGCAGAGCTTCCTGCGGGAAGACGTCAGGCGGGAAAGAGGCTTGATAGAGGGGGGGGGAAATGTTGGTGGAACTGTCGATCAGTTCAACATGGGATTGCGCAGTCTCGGAGGAGGAGAAAAAAAAAAAAAGACTACCTCTTTCGCTCCGACTTGCACTTGAAACTCGATCGTGGCAGCCGAGAAACCACCTCGGACACATCGCCGCGTGAGATGGCGTCCAGCCTTCATATGGTTCCCGTCCGAGTCGTCTTCCACGAAGTGGCGGGGAACTCGTTCGTGTCTTGTGCCCATCCCGTCTGCCGACTACCTCACACTAGGTCCAACACCCGCAGATGATAGCCCCCATGAATCATTCGGTGCATTCTCCCCCCAAGCTACAAGGATCGAGATTCCGACATTCTGGTCAGCCAGCTGCTTTTACCCCCTGCGGATGGAAAGCTCCTTTTAGTAGAACCCGTTACTGGTTTGACAGGACTTGGTTCTGGTTTACCATCCGGTGAAACGCCTTACGCGAACTCCCGTGCTGTCATCTCGAGTCGCCGTCCGAGACATCTCGTCACGCGTCGTTAGGAGGGAGCACCTCAACTGGTTCCAGCCAGAGAGCGAAAGCCCGCCATCTCTCATCACATGCGTGCTCGTGCGGAATCTCATCTCCATTTTCAACGTCGCGCTGCTTCGCCTGCCGCGGAGTACAGCCATAACGCTAACCTCGAGACGTCATCCACATTCGCCAATCCACGTGGGTAGCTCACCTGCCACAAGCTACGATCTCCTTCGTAGAGTTATCCCCCCTCACCGAGAGTCACCGAAAACCATTTGATCTCAGATCGGTCCAAGTGTGAAGCATTCGTTGTGTTCATCATTTCATTATTATTACTATACACACTGATAAACTCATGCGCACATCGAATATCACTGTCTCTCAGCACCTCGTCTTTCCAATAGAGGACTACTCCAACGTGTCTGCTTTTTTGCAGACGTCTGTCGCCAAAGAGTATACATGCTGCATGTGAGAAACTGTTTCTCTGATCCATCTCCTGCTGTGCGACGACGATGGCAATTCATTCGGCAAAAATACCAGACGCGCAAAGCGTACGTCAAAATCTGGTAACGACAGTCGGGTACGCCAAGCGTTTCTCCCATGACCTGGCCAAAGCCGATATGCCCTCGTGTATCATTGCACTTTTAATAGTCATCCTCATCCGTTGAAGCCTGTTTCCCACAAAAGGAGTCATCATAACTGGAGCCGCGTTTAGATGCTGAGTATGCAAACGTGAAGCACATATCAAAGTGTGCCAGTCGATCGAGACGGGCAGGTCGCTACCTTTCCGGAATCGGACTCTTGGCCAAACGGCCTCCTGCGCTCACTCGCTTCTGCAGACGCGATTCCCTTTCGCGCGCTAGCTTCTGGTCGGGGCTCATATTGCCAGGGAGCGTCCCGACAGTATCGCTCGAAAACCCCGTGTTTCTGCCCCGTTTCTCTTCAATGTACAATTGAGCGCTCCGACTCAGGGGGAATGCCGGCATCGATGAAGGTATTTCCGCCCCGTTTTGAAGAAGCATCTCGGCGACTGGGAATGGGACCACCCTCTCCGCCTCCGATGGCTGGCCAGGGGTTGGTGAAGGTGATGCCGGATCAGCCGCTGCTAGCGCCAAGAACACTGCATGCGTACCCCTTGAACGATCCGTAACGTTAGGACTGGCCTTGAGAGCCAATGCATAAATAACCTGCTGGATTTCATTCTTCTTGATCGCCGCCAGCAAAGTGTCTTCGGGTGTAGGGTAGCGAGATAATGTCGCCGAGATGGGCTCAATGTACGCTCTATCCACGTACTTCGCCGTGATGAACCTCAGCCGCTGCTCGCGCGTTGCCTGGGGTCCAGGCTTCATGCCGGGTTCGAGCTTTGCCTCCCAAATCATATTCGACACCCGGTTTCCGACAAGCAACAAGAGTTCGACAATATCGGGGGTAAAAGAGTTGATGTCCAAGGTCAGAGACCTCACTTTGCTGATATGCGTACCAAGAGAGCGATGGATACCGCTGCACTCGATGCAAACAATGATTGCAAGATTGATTGAGACCCACTCGACCTTGGTTCCGGATCCGCAGTCCGCGCACCAGCAATTGCCCTGGTCGTTGTCGCGGAGGAGTTGCAATAGCTTATCAGGGTTGTCGTCGTAACTCGAACTGGTAGATCGATGAGTGCTTGGCCGGGCGCCGACAGTTATTCGGCGCATCGGCGCACCGCTGTTGGAATGCGCATGGTGACTGTTGTGCCCGACTGAAGGGCTCTTGCCCGTCAGGATGGACCCGATATCCTTCCTGATGGAGCCCGAGTCGGAAGCCCCAGGCCCGGATTTATCTCTGGCAACTCGGCCTTCAACAGCGCTTTGGAGTGCGTTGTTGATAGCTAAGATCCAACTGTTCATGTCCTCTTCGGAAGTGGCCTGGTAAACTCGCTTATAATGTGGCGTAATGACTTCAAAGCAAAATCGACGCTCAGCATTACGGGCTTCTCTCACAGAGGCCATTCTCAAATCGATTGGATCCATGTGAAGATCCAACCTTTGCTTCCAGTTGCTGTATTCTGAAAGCTTACCCTGATCAAGTACAATCCAAAATCTACATCACGTCAGTATGGGTACATCCGCCAAAACTTTGGGCAGTGCTTACTTGTGCCAGCCCTGTTGCTTCAAGTTGCGAGGGTCAACATGGTTGCCGGGCTTGCTGAGAGACCACAGCAAACCTTCCTTGCGCTGGGCACTGCTTGCACTTGACGTTCCGTAATCTTTCTCCTCCAAGTCACGGATGCCTTTGAATTTAGAGGCCTGTGCAGGGCTTCCAACTGAAGATGCGCCCAGACTACCTGGAGACCTGGACAACTCGGGAGAAACTATGGCCACGGTCGAGTTGGATCCGGAGGTCAGTGCGACCTTCAGTTGGGAGCCGGTACTGTCGGCTCGACCAAGGTCGCTGTCGGAGACGTACGCGTTTCCGTTTGAGCCCGCGACTTGGACTGAGCTAGTGCTGGCCAACGGGACTGGCTCCGGCTCATTGTAAGTTTGGTTGCCCTTTTCCAGAAGTCGCCTCTTTTCCTCTCGCTCGCGCCTCTGGTATTGATATTCTTTATCAGCCTCTTGAACCTCATTCGACAGCGCCTCCAACTGCGGCACCAAAGTGTCGATTTTCTTTGCGGCCTCCAAGAAGGTCCTCGTTTGGGCATCAGCATATCTTGTGAGGTGAGAGAGAACCTCTTGCTCCTTGCGTCCACCATGAAGATCCTGCATGAAGCTAGAGTAGTCGAACCGCTTAAGCTCAAAGTTGCGGCGTTTCGTCTGATACTTGGAGTCGCTCTCCGCAAGCTTCTTAGCCTTGACCGAGTCGTGGCGCTGGCCAAGATATCGAGAAACGTAAGCGTAGTAATCCTTGCTCTCCTCCTCGAAGTCTCGCTTTTTGGATTCTGCCTGTTTGATATCCACCGTGTAAAATTTGTCCAATGGATCAATGACAATGCGTTTGAGATTGACGGTATTCTGTCGCTCGTAGGACAGAATTTCCCTGGCGATTTTGTCGAAATAGTGCTCAATTGCTGGCTGAACAGCATTCGCATTTGTCGATGATGCTTCACGGAGTGTATCGATGAATTCGGAGAAGTTCTTGTTGGCTTCCACCTGAGCTTCATGCGCTTGCTTAGCCATCTTTAGCACGCGCTTCATCTGTGTTCGCATATTGCCCGTCTTTTGTTCCAGCGCTTTGATCGTTGCCCTGAAAACCGGCCCATCGTCTGGCACAAGAACATCGTCGGTTGGTTTCGGGCACGCAACATCAACCTTGACAGGCTCCTGGGCTAGGGGT